TCGTAAAGGATTGCTCTCTCCCGCATGTTGACAGTAAACCTGGCAGTTCATTAATCCTGCCAAATCCCCCTCACACTTACTGAAGTGTGGATTCTATTTCCACATTTCCCATTAGCTTCTCTTTGTGGATTAAACAGAGTCCTTTCATAGACCCGGCCCAAAACCAGCGCACATAATTGGGTTGTAATGGATTTCCTAGCGCTCTAGCGTCTTCTGTTCGGTTTGATCCATGGAACACAAATATCTCCACATAGACCTCTGGTTACTTTCAAAGTGTTTTCGACTTACCAGAACCCAGACAGATTCAATGAAAAAACACTACATGTCTTAAAGGAACCATTCACTTATTGAACTCCTTCTTGAGCCTTTGCTAAACTTTTTAGACTTTATTCTGACTTTGCTGGAACTATGCTCTAGATCTGAGGAGTTTTCTGCAGTGACAAATCATGCTTGTGGCAATCTGATGGACCTGGCTGGATTTGTATGGAGCCATAAATTATAACTTTGCCTTTAAAATATACATTAGCATTTAAATGAAGGATGTGGGATTAAGAAAATACAATTTTAATAGTTTTTTTTTTCATTTTTATTATGTTTTTTTTTGTCAAGCTCCAGTGCTATACTGGTGTAGCTCAACACATACATTGGGATTGGTTGCAGTTCTGAACAAAGCTCTTTTTCTAGTCTTTCCCCAATTCTTCTCCTTCACAATAAAGGTGGGAAACAGACAAAAATAATCTTTAAAAGGTGTAGCACAGAAGTATTTTGTAAACAATAATTATTTATATTTCAGAAAGCTTGCTTTGTTTGTAGATAGCTTTAGATCATGTTCTGGTTACATGTTTTAAACCCCCTTTCTTTCCATCAATATTTTCTGCCTGTCCTAGTCTGGAACTAAAACATGCTCTCTGTAGATTTGTGCATTTTAAGACCAGATGTGCATTTGAGGATCAGTTGTTTATTTGAGGATTAGTTGTGAATTTGAGGACCAGTTGTTTATTTGAGGACCAATTGTGCAATTGAGATCCAGTTGTGCATTTGAGGTACAGTTTTTGCATTTGAGGACCAGTTGTTTATTTGAGGATCAGTTGTGAATTTGAAGACCAGTTGTACATTTGAGGACCAGTTGTTTATTTAAGGACCCATTGTGCAATTGAGATCCAGTTGCACATTTGAGTATCAGTTGTGCATTTGAGGATCAGCTTTGCATTTGAGCATCAGCTGTTTAATTGAGGACCATATGTGCATTTGAGGACCAGTTTTACATTTAAGTATCAGTGGGCATATGAGGACCAGTTGCGCATTTGAGGATCAGTTTTGCATTTGAGTATCAGCTGTTCAATTGAGGCCCATATGTGCATTTGAGGACCAGTTTTGCATTTGAGGATCAGTTTCGCATTTGAGTATCAGTTGTGCATTTGAGAATCAGTTGTGCATTTGGGCATAGGTTGTCTTTCACCAGCTGTCACATTCTGAATGATTCAGTAATGCAGCCTATAGTCTTTAGTATCCCATGATTCATTGCGGACAGTCTACATTAGCCAAACTTCAAATAACACCACCACATTTTTGTTTGCATTGTTTAAATTTAAGGTACATTACATTTCAATGACATTAAATAGTTTCTTTAATTTTACAAGAATTTATCATAATCACTTATAGTAAAAAGATGACCAATATTCATAAAAGGCAAGACTTTCTAATTAAAATGCAGGGTTTGTTTAAAGTTCGTTTCCTGTCAATATCCAGTGTTTGATTTAGGGCATAAACATTCCATGTCTCTCTGTTGTAAAATTCACCGGATCATCTCCTGAATTCTCTTTGGGCTTTGATGGGTTCCTTGCATAACGAGTCTGCCAAAAACCAGCTCGTTAACACTCCTGAGGGTGATGGGCCATACCTAATAAGCTCGTAAGGTAACGAGCTGCTAAATTGTGTATGCTTGTTTGTGATCATTTCAGAGTCGGCATTAAAGAGACCCATGTGTGTACCCTGAGCGACAGAGGTGAAATTGCATTAATGGAGACCACGGGCCTGTGTGTGATGGGCTGTAAGATGTCAGGGTGGAGGTGTTTGCAAGGAAACTAAATATGCTGTCCTGATGAGAGCAATGTCACTGCCAAATGTCTTTTGCTTATTGAGCGTCTGCAGGGATGCATTTTAATGCCTCACAGAGCATTTATAGATGCTTTGTTAGTGTCTCTGCGTGTGAGTGTGTGTTTGTTAACGTCTGGACTTACCGCATGACAGACTGAAAGTTGATCTCTTATTTGCGGTCATTACCTGGCTGAATGCTGCTCTGTCACACTTGACTGAGCATCTTATGTCTGTTTGTTTGTGTTGTCTGTTGCTGCGTGTGGTTGGTACGCGTACTCAGAGGTCAGTGTGTTTTATGAGTGTGGCTCTTGTCTATAAAAGATGCTTAATGACCCACCTCTGACCCTCCTTGAATGTGTTTTAAATGGCCCCATGTTTTCAGTATCTTGGTGTATTTTCTTTTTAATGAGCTTTGCAAACACAATTGAAGGCAGATGCATCTAGTAGCCATAGAGATATTCCACAAAGGTAACCTTTGCCTTTTGCTTCTTCACAAATACAAAAATACCCTGGGGAGTTGGAAAAAGAGACTTAATCCTTTAAAGTGACATGATCAGTACCTATTCACTTTTACCTTTCTATCCCTTTGACAAAATCAACATTAGAGATATGTTTGCTTTAGCTCCAGAGACCCCCTTTGAGCTTATCTTTGCATCTATCAATGCTATAGTTTGAAAGAATTGCTGTGTTTGAATATTCCCTATGTTTTGACCCACAGAAAACACAGGGAATATAAGTAGACAAAATCACCAAACAGAATGAGAAACAGGTGTGCAGTATTTAGGAGAGAAACAGGACAGGAGGGGTGAGAGAGGAGAGAACCAAAGACACATAAAAGCGCAAACACATGAGGGGACTTTGTATAGCCTTCCTCCACCTCGTTTTGTTTTAGGGTTTAGCAGAGAGATATTGCTTGAAGCAAACTGATTCTAATATGCAAATCTTGACCAATGGGCGCAACGCTGAAGATCAGGTTGACCCCTTCTCTGATCTTCAGAGATATTTTTAGTAAAAATATAATTTTACTAAAATGTACACCAAATTAAAGCATATAGTTTTATTAAAACATGATCAATGTTGCATCAATCTTGCAAACGTAATACAAGACCATAAATACTAGTAAATTCATACCCTCAACTTCACATCGATATATTGAAAATTCAAGATTAAACCATTGGCTTCTACTTTCATCTTGTTCTCGATTCTCAGCCTTAATATTCTCCATCAAACAGGTGCTTTGTGTAAAGTGCAAAGAATGGGTCTCAATGCAAAGTCATTAATTTTGCATTTCTGGTTTAGGATTAAATCTATTTAGATCCAATTTGGCTGTCCCTGGGTCCCAGCGAGCGCTGAGGGCCCAGAGCTGCCACTAATTCACTCTGGCTCTACTCAGAGGCATGTGAAAATGAAGTGAGAACATTATGATGAATGATCTCTCTGATGGCTTCCACATTAACTAGCATCCTGCCCAAGCTCTCTGTTCACAGCCCTGGCAACTGCCGGCGCTTGCCATTTATTTGTTGAGCTCTACATTTTGAGACCATTTTTATTAAATGGAATTGTTTCTAAATTATTTGTCCAAATTCTCATTGCCCTTCTTCCATCAACCCTTTCTCTCCTTGTGAGGTTGAGAAAAGAGCAGCATAGAGGGGGCTTTTGAAGAAAAGAAATGAAGTGATCTTCTCTGTTGGGCTCCTTGATTGTGTGCTGGTCATTAGCATATGATTATTAGTGGTGGACTATTGGCCTCCTGGATATTCCATTATGAATCCGCTCTCTGGGAGCTCATTAGAGGTCTTGCATTGAGGTCCCGTCAGTCAGGATGTCGTCTCAATCAGAGGCAAGCATGGGATTTTTTTTAATAAGAACCTTAAACCCCATGTCTCTGGTCACAGGATGGATGAATACAAGTAAAAAGAAAAGTTATTTCTGTAGCTTTATCTTTAGATCACACGAGGTGGATGTTTTTCACTGAAGGTTCAGCCATTAGTTCAGTTTTCTCTGCTGACTGAAAACACAAGACTTCACTATTTGTTCACTCTGGTATTTTATTTTGTGTTTTGCGCTGTGTTAACTGCATTTTAAGTTTGTCATGTATTTGATGGGGTTACATTCCCAAGGTACTAGCAAATACTTTTTGTTGTCGAAAATAGTTGATAATTTTGTTGTTGAGGTTCAAACACTAAGCATGCCTCCAAATAACCTATAAAAAACACAAAAATATAACAATTGTACAATTACAATGTGTACACGCTTAAAAGATTTATTTGATGAAGAGAATGATTATTGTGACAGACTTTTTTCAAGAGCGCACAATGCATTCGCTGACCCTGTAATAGATCTCTACGAGTGCAAATTATGCAGCATCTCAACCTTTTCCTGCAGCACCTTGACCTTAGCTCCCACCCCCTCCCCTCCCCTACTTTACTGCAAGTCTTGCGTGACATTTTGTGAAATGCAAAGGAATCCAATACTGTATTGTCAGCAAGATGAATTCCTATTCTGTCAGATGTCAATCTGGGGATTTCTTGATCTAGATCAGAGGTAAGCTGAAGCGCTGCCCCGTTTAGATCAGGGGTGGGCAAAGTCATTCCTGGAGGACCGGGTCAAAGTCTTATTAAACTAGCACCACTATTGTTAGCTTCCCTCCCCCAAAAAAAAAAATTACATTTGTGACAATAGCTAATTTTGTAATAATAAACAACATATGTTTTAAGATATTATATATATTTCTTCTTCTTCTTCTTCTTCTTCTTCTTCTTCTTCTTCTTCTTCTTCTTCTTCTTCTTCTTCAGCATTGCAATCAGTAATTAAAATTTTACAACTCTCAAAAAAAAAGTTAAGCGTTTGACTTTTTAACTTTTTTTGGCTTGTCGTACAAATATATTTTTGATTAATAAACAGCTTTCCTGTCGCTCAGTTGGTAGAGCACTGCATTACCAACGAAAGGGCAGTGGGTTCAAATCCCAGGGACACAAGAACTTACAAAAAATCAGTTCACTCATTCAAATATAAGTTGCTTTGGATAAAAGCGTCTGCCAAATGCATAAATGTAAAATTCAATGCAAATGTAAATGTAACATTTATGTCCATTCAATATGATCCATTTAATATGATATTTAAAAAAGCCATGCACCCACAGTTATACATTATGTTCCTTATCTGAACTTATCTCATCTTGAAGAACCAGGACATTTTCAGCATTAGCATTTTTCTTTCAGTAGTTGTGCTTTTGTTGTTTCTGTGCTCTCTCTCTAGCCTGCTGTTGTTGCTATTTGTTATTCAGAGGCGGGAGCATCCATCATCAAAATGCAATTTAATTTTTCTATTGCTCTGATACTCGCTGCCTTTCTCTCCTCTGCTGATAAAGTTGCTGACTTCTGCCTATCCCAGAGAAGAGATCGATCCCTGCTTGTTTACCGTTATAATAACACTGCTGCTCCTTACCCATAATGCACATTTACTCCAAAGAATTTCATTTACAGCATTTCAGGGGTTTGTGAGGATGAAAATCCAATTGTTATTTTGACTTTAGTTTGCGTTCCAAAGGTTTGCATACAACATTCTAACTTCTATTGGTTAGAATTGACTTCTGTCAACTTTAAAATCCAGAAACAAAGCCATATGTGCTGCTGTAAATGTGGCTTATTCCTAGTATAGCATTTTGTTCCCATGCAGCAATCACAGTTCGTGCATTTGTTTGTTTGAAGCTGAGAGGAGAATCAACTGTGACGTGTGACCTTGTAATTGCATGACCTCAGATCAACAGAATTTGTCAGTGCTGTCGGCCAGTCGTGACGAAGCCTGGCAACTTCACACAAGCTCCATATTGGCTGCCATGCTGATGTCAGATTCAGTTGGCTGCACTTAATGTCTTTAATGTGTGTGACTGTCACTTAAATCTTTTCTGGAGGAATTTGTCAATACTACTACTAATAGAGGTGAGGTAGAGGACTTAAAAGGAAATAAAGGCTATGGGTCGATTTGCCTTGTTAGAATGTCTCTCACCTTACTTTTCCATCTGTTACACATTGTCGACCATAGTTGAACTGGAACCACTATGAGATGTTGAAATGCCATTCATAAAAAAATATACGTAACATAAATCACATTTGTTTCAGTTTTCCATATTAGCAGGGGTCAGGAACTGAAATTTTCCTGAATGTTACGGTTTATTCAGGTTAGATTATACAGTAAAGAGTAATATGTTAAATAAACACTTTATGTGGTTTTATATAGCTCTTCAGTGTTAAAATAGCACAATAAAAATAGTTGTTTTGCAACAATGCATTAGATATCTAACCCCTTTCACCTATATTTCCTAATCAGCACAGAGTAACAACACAGAAACGAGTTATTTTGTCCCTAAACGTGTTACAATTACATTAACTAGGGTCTTTTCGCACTGTGGAGGTTACTCCCTAAGAATGTTACATCAACTGAGAGCAAACATTATTTTTTCTTGAATGCTATTCATTAAAGAAAATGCATTAAAATCAAAACTTGAAATTCAAACTGCATATAATGTTTTTTTTCTGTAAAACATTTATATTGCACCTTCTTTTATCAAATAGTTTGTGAAATAGCAACTCTGACATTTTAAAATACCCGTCTCTTCAATTGTCAGTGTCTTGCGTGCAAGCTTGTAATATTAATTCGTAATGTTCCAGAAACTTGCAGGAATCCAACTATAGCATTGATAAATGCACAGATAAGCTCTAAAACATTATTTGATAAAACCAAAGACAAATCTTGGATGATCATTTTGGTTAAAGGAAAGATAAGTGGCAAAAACATGATTTTATTATAGACTAAAAGCTTCTACAAGCAGATTCGAAATTTTATTTTTGAAGATTCAAGCGAGAATGTGCCTCGATCAAAAACAAGAGCGCCAACACATCTGACCGGATCATTGGTACCAATGCCATTACAGATTGTTTTTTTTTTTTTTTTTTTTTTTTTTGCAAGGAGAAAAACTAATAAAAGCTGTGTGAAAGAGCCTTGGATTTGGGAGTTTAAATTAAATTAAATTAAATGTATCTAACTGTTTTTACATCTGCAGTAGGGTTACCCCCACCCCCAGTACTGAGCATCATTTCCTGATAATACTTCTTTAGAACCAGCTTTAGAAGCCGAAGCAGCCAGGGGCATAGCAAACTCTACCTTATGATGCCACTAGTTTTTTTTTTCTAGAGCTAGTGCTAAATAAAGCCATTTTAAAATAAGCAAAACCATTTATACAGAAATTGTAATGCTGCTTTTATTTTTCTATGCGAAAAGATAGACTTTTTGGTTTCTCAATTCATGACCCCTTAAATCCAAATGGCCTCATAAGGAGTAAGGCTTCTTGCTTCTCGGTTCCAATTCCTTCTATTCCAGGCTTGTATGGTCAGATTTAGCTGAGAGAGCATGAATGACATCTCACTGATTTCCCAACCCTCAAAACCAGTCATCTGTTTTAAGAGATGTGGGTCCATGCCACAAAACCTGCCCTTCATTCGATCCGTCCTGCTTGTAGAGTTCTTCCTCCGTGTTGGACTCCCTCCATCGATTTCTCCTGCCCCAGCAGGCGTGTTTATTGTTTCCAGGGAGGAGTACTGTCGATAAACTATAAAGCAGTGAAAAAGGGGATACTGTTGAAGACATCAGAGAGATTGTAAAAATAAAACAACATTGAGATTGAGTGAACCAACACAGCTCTCACCTTTGTGTGTGTTTCTAAAGGTGAAGCAATGGTTTATACCACTTGAAGGTATACCAAACTTCATCTCCTCTTTCTAGGAAGGAAAGAAGTACATCATGCTTCTATTGCATGCTTGTCCATTCTAAAACCATGTTTACCTTGTACAAAATGGGGCTTGTGTCAGAAAACAGGCTTTTTTCACACCAGCAGGCAAGCCGGCCAACATTTGCAATAAATTCTATGTAATTGTCCTCAAAATGATGGCTGTTGGCCACTGTTGCAGTGACAGGAAACGAAAATGAGAAGGGGCGAGAGGAAATTTTCTCTCTGCTTTCCTTTTTTCGGCGTGTCTTTTGATTATAGCCATCCCTTATTAAAGTGCCAGGCTGCGAGTTGTAGAAATATATCAACCCTGTTGAAATTAGCTGCAGATCTGAACGGATATATATATATTTTTTTCACTCCAGTTGAATGCAGAGCAGATGAATCAGCAGCATGGGCTTTTAAAAGATGCCATAGCTTAGACTAGATCTGGGGAGAAGGGTGACAGAAGAATCTGCTACACCATTAATTACAGTAATGGTGATGCAGCAGGCGGGAAAAATGGCCCGCTGTATAATGAGGCCTACGAATAAAGCTCATTCTCTGTGTCATGTGCCCAATAAACACTGATAAGACCATACAGGGGTTATGTGTTAGGGGTCTAGTTGATTTCTAGAGATAGGATTCTGGAGAAAAGCAGCTAAAACTGGATGAAAAGGTCAACCATCTGGGTTTTTAACCCTCTAACCCAACATGATCTAGCTGGGGGGACAGTATAATCTGCATTTTTAGTCCAACTGACCAAAATCCATTATTCCAGGTACATAGGAACCTCAAATGTGTTTGACTTTAAGTGTCAATGGGTATCTGTATGGGACTTGTTGCCATTTAGTTAATCCTTAGAAGTCCACTCACACCGTGTGGCCATTATAGCGTCTGTTTTGAATAATTTAGGAATGACATAATCCACTTATTGATTAATTTTGACTTCAAATATAATTGTTAGGTTTGAACAAAATTATTAGTTTTCTTATTTTGTGTTTTAAACAAACATTACAAGAGTTATGATGCATAAATTGCATGTTAATTTAGATTTAAATAAGATAAAATGCGCAATCTGAAATTTGATCAGTTTCAGTTTCGTTTTTTAGACCCCAAGTCTGTGCCCTAAGTGCCATCTGGTGGTGAAAAGAAGAGGAAACACTTTGGCATAAAAGACCTGTCATAAGGTCTCTTTGTTTTTTTCAAAATTCCTTCACAAAACGAAGCACAATGAAACAAAAAGTGCTTGGAACATTGTATAAGGTTTGGTAGAGAGTGTGATACAGTTTTCACATTGTTTGGACCTTCTTTGCTTTTTTTTTGGGGGGGGGGGGGTTATTCTGTCTCAACACATTAGATTTTTGTTATAAAACTATTCGTTGTACATTTTTGCTGAAAAAAAGGTACTATTCGGAATTGTACTTTTTGTATAATTTCAGGGTTGTTGCGGAATTATTGTGTAATGCAAAGCAAAACTATTTGTAAAAAAAAAAAAAATACAAAAAAAAGCTCTAATTTATTAGCGCATATTGTAAAGTAGTAACTTTACAAAAAGGCTCCGGGTTAAGCACCAACAGATTCTTGTCACTATTAAATGGGTCGGAACAGATGGAGAAAAAAGTTTTTAAAAGTTTTTTTTGCTCTTCTTTTAACTGTGTTTTCTTTATTACTTTCAGTTCTGTTTACTTGGTTCACATATTTTAAAACCCCATGTCAATGATCCAGACATGGGCAAGCAAACGCAACCCTTACCAGCAGCCAGCTGTTCCTCAATATTAACTTCATATGTTTGGGAGGACTTGAAGTGAACATCGAGCCCTGTTCTCATTCAGTAATATCACCCACCCTGTAATTGCGCCAGCAGATCTTACAACCAACTCTGTGAAATATAAATGATTGTGCTGAAAGTTTAATTAACTTTATGTAAGCTTTCCCTCCACTGGAGACCTTGGTTAATATTCTGAGATCTCAAGCGCGTGACCTTGCAAAGTATGTTTTACTGTGTTCATTTCATCAAAGGCATCTGGATACTACTGGCAGTGCTCGGAATATTCACTAGCTCTGATTGGTTCTAAACATCCTGCTGGGTACACTGCTGTGTTTCGGTGGGGGGAGATTTTGTTGGATCATGATGTCACAGATCACTGACCCTGAACATTGCTTTTAGACCTGATGCTGGCTCGAATATTAATGTACCATCATGCATTGCT